TATATACACACACACACACGCACACACACACACACACACACACACACATATATATATATATATATATATTCACACTTACTCATGGCGGAGGGTGGTAGGTTGACTACTGGAGCTGGAGCTGCACCCCTTCCTGCCCTGCACTGATTGTGAATAGCCTATCGTTGGTTTTGAAGTGCGCCGAGAGGGTACACGCGCCGGTCGAAGTGACTGCCGAGAGTGTATGTATAGAGATGTTGAGTTTAAGGTTTATAATAAGAATACATGTTTATGTGGAAGTGTATGTCAATGCGTTGTGCATGCAGTCATAGATCATCTGGTGCGTATGTGTGTCTGTAGATGTATATGCGTATTCCCATAAACAATAGGAGATATCAAGTCCTTATGTGAAACTAATACAGGCGAATTGTTAGTACATACGAAAACATCACCAATATGTAGGGCTTTAGGCGTATTCCTTTTTTTTAGGGTTTTATGGGTTCAATCTTAAACTTGTCTGTTGGCGAGTCTAGTCCTCACAGTTTGACCAATGGATGCAAATGAAAATCACCAGATAGAGATAGCCCAACCAGCATGTTTTGGGGTATAATTTGTGGGAAAGAGTTTCAGGGTATAGGGTTTTAGGGTTTGGAGGGCAAGGCGCTCAGCGAGACACAAGAGCAAGTAAGAGAAAGACGTGATTGTGTCTATCCGTTGACCTAAGTTATACTGACCAATGATCACTATGCACTCAGCCACTGCCCACGAGTAATGCATACAGATATATATACATACATACATACATACATACACATACAGGTATACATATATACATATTCACATTTCATATCGAGAAGTATATCCACACGTCTAGTAGCTGGACGTAGCACTACTTACCTCCGCACGAGGTCGTCCGTTTCCCAGCGCCCCGGCACTATGGGCTGTTAACGAGCCTGTAGGTGTGTCTACATTGCTTGCTCGCCTGTGTTAATAGATACATAAGATATAACTGTGAGTAAGCGTACAGGTATTGTGCAGAATGATTTATGTGCGTGCGTTCGATGGTGTGAATGATACAGTACAAGTGAGAGGTAAGAATTGAAATATAGCATAATTGGAAGTAGGAGGTAGTAATTAGCATGTGCAATAAATAGAAGTAGGAGGTAGTAATTAGCATGTGCAATAAATAGAAGTAGGAGGTAGTAATTAGCATGTGAAATAAAAAAAATAGAAAAAGAAGGTAGTATCTAGCATGTGAAGTAAATAAAAGTACGAGGTAGTGATTAGCATGTGCAATAAATAAAAGTAAGAGGTGGTAATTAGCATGTGAAATAAATAAAAGTAAGAGGTGGTAATTAGCATGTGAAATAAATAAAAGTTGGAGGTAGTAATTAGCATGTAAAATACATAGAAGTAGAAGGCAGCAATTAGAATGTAGTACAACCTGAAGTAATAGGTAGCACTTAAACAGCAGATTAGTGCCCAAGTATCTGTGCACACGCTGATACGTCCTGGCAGGGGGTTGTGAGTCATAAACTCAGTTTAAAGGATGTCTGTACTAAATATACTGCATAAACTCAGTTTAAAGGATATCTGTACTGAATGTACTGTAGTATATCTACCACTACACATGTGGTGAATCCATGGCTGTAGACGTGTCCAGAACGAAGCCACTTACCCAAAAGTGTGCGTGGTTATGCACAGTCACACGAGCAACTCAACAAACATACGAGTTATATCTGAGCAGTATATAAACAGATCTATCACCACACACTATCTAAGGAACACATGCCATCTATACAGAGTAACTCCAAGAGCACTTTTACTCTGAGATACTCCCACGTACGGTTCGCCGAGAGCCGCCCACGTCGACCCGTCCGACGCAGCGGTACTCACAGTGTCCTCTTCCTCAAAAAAATCTGATGATCTACGGCGAAGTAAGGTGTGAGGTTGAGTGAGTACAGGAGCCCTATTTATGCATGTACTTGTGCATCAGAAGTTTTAGGGTTATAGGGTTTTCCAAAACCCTAAACCCTAAAGTTGTGGAGCGAACTCGGGAGAGGCACATGCTCGAGGTATATGCATCGCATCCGTATATATGAGGAGCATTGAGGGTGCGTGACAAATGTAGGGTAGTGGTCGTATAAGCACAGCGGTAGATAACGCAGGTGTAGAAGGGTATGTGTTAGACACGCCTTGACATAACTTGAACGCAATAGAGCATACATACAAGATCATACATGAGTCTAAAACTAACATATATATATATATATACATACACACACACACACACACACACGCACGCACGCACGTACACACACACACACACACACATATATATATATACCCATCACATTTACGACTCACTTCTCTAGAGACGTGTCTAAGGGTCGAGTGGAGGTGCCTGTGTGCTGTTCGTCTAGTGTTCCCTGTGTGTCCACCTCAGAGTCTGATTCTGAATCGTCCGTTGCGCTGTTTGAATATTCATGTGCAGATGAGAGTGAACAGTTACAAATGGTATCGTTGCGAAGTGCAAAGAGAGAGAGAGTGTGTGGCTGTATGATAGACCTGAATATAAATGCGAATAACAGTGTCAACTACGTGTGTAAACCAAAGATACGAGTATTTTAGTGACGTTCGGGTATGTATGAACAAATACATATCTATTCCTATACGCGCATATACTGCTTGACATCTATACCTTTCAAAACTTATATATACATACCATATATGATCACGTGTCAATTGTACGTACATGTTATATATTTCCACATAATCAAATATACGCTTGAAATAATTATATATATATATATAAATATAAATATAAATATAAATATAAATATATTTAAATATATATAAATAAATAACAATATATAACAATATATAACAATATATAACAATATATAACAATATATTCTTATTTTTGTATAATTTATATACACATGGGTTTTAACACATGTATATGTAAAAATGGCACGAATCATCCTCTACGCAATTCTTACACTCAAATCAAGCCGACTGATGCGCACTAATACTCATTTCTTCTATACAGAATCTTACTTGCACACACACACACACACACACACACACACACACATATATATATATGCATACATATCAATACATATGTCTACACATGCACAAACATTCATCCCTATATGCACATGTATTAATTATAGTATATTTGTAGCATATTATTTATAGTATATTTGTAGCATACTATTTATAGTATACTTATAGCATATTATTCATAGTATATATGTAGCAGTATAAATAAAATAGTTGTAGCATACTATTTATAGTGTATTTGTAGCATATTACTTATAGTATATTTGTAGCAAATTATTCACAGTATATTTGTAGCATATTATTCATAGTATATTTGTATCATATTATTTATAATATTTTTGTAGCATATTATTTATAGTGTATTTGTAGTAGATTATTCATACATAGTATATTTGAATCATATTATTTATAGTATATTTGTAGCATAATATTTTTAGTATAAGTGTAGTATATTATCTTTTGTATAAAATTATACGTATACACTCATAGTATATTATCTTTTGTATAAAATTATACGTATACACTCAATCCATACCTGCCAATGAGATCGCGCATAGCGTCCTTGCGTAACCTGTCCATGTCGTCGTATTGTCCGAATTCATTGTCATCCGTTGTAGTGAACTCGGAAGGCAGACTGGTTCTAGGACTATTTAGTAGGTAAAAAGTTATTTATAAAATAATAAATATGGAGTAAATTGACACTAGGGCATGCAATATATGAAGTAGGACAGTGTTATATTTATCTATCTATTCATATATATATATATATACATACATACATACATACATACATACATTCATACATACATACATACATATATATATATATTATATATATATATATATATATATATATATATATATATCTGCATTGAATAAAATCTGTTACTATACTCACACAGAGATAGTTACATATGCACATATGTATCTCTTTATATATACATACATACTTAAATTATACACAACTTGCGATCCATATAAGAGTTAGGCGCCCTCACCAGTGTTCTTGCATAAATAAAGAATCGAACCACTCACTATACTCACACATGGACAACCACATCAGCACATACATATTCCTTCACATATACACACATACAGCACACATCTCTTTCTATATACACACGCACAAAACAATAGACATACATATCTACACAAACATACATATCTACACATACATACATATTTACACATACATACATATTTACACATACATACATATATACACCATATATACACATACATACATACATACACATACATACATATATACACAAACATACATGTATACACATACATACATTACACATACATACATATTTATACATACATACATATATACACATACATACATATATACACATACATACATATATACACAAACGTACATATATACACATACATACATATATACACACTGACTTACGATGCAAAGTGCAGCAGTTGGGCATCCTCATAATCGGGTGCAGGTGCAGCTGTGGTGTAGTTGGGTGCGGCTGTGGGTGGTTGTGCACTATCGGCACTTGCGCCTTTGCCTTTGGAGTCGGTACCGACATCGAACAAGTCACTGCTCACATCTAGACTACCTGATATATATCACGTGCATGTGCATGGGGGTATGAGAATGGTATTACTATTCTAAACTACCAAATATATCATGTGCATGTGGGTATGAGAATGATATTACTATTCTAAACTACCTGATATATCATGTGCATGTGGGTATGAGAATGGTATTACTATTCTAAACTACCTGATATATCATGTGCATGTGGGTATGATAATGGTATTCCTATTCTAAACTACCTGATATATCATGTGCATGTGCATGTGGGTATGAGAACGGTAATACTATTCTAAACTACCTGATATATCATGTGCATGTGCATGTGGGTATGAGAATGGTAATACTATTCTAAACTACCTGATATATTATGTGCATGTGCATGGGGGTATGAGAAAGGTATCACTATGTACAGTAATTGGCAAGTGATGAACATGAGAATACTATTAACTACATGTGATATTGCTACTACTTATGCTGAGAGAGTCATTGGCTTGTGCATGTAAAGAAATAATGATACTTACTGGAGCAGCCGGCGTCACCACTTTGATACCGAACCAACTGCACTATAACACCAATTGCGTAGCGAGCGATGGCTGATAAGCCCATCTCAGCCATACCAACACCCATGTACATCGCTAACCTATATACCATTGACATACCATTAGCATACCATTGACATATCATTGCCATACCATTGACATATCATTGCCATACCATTGCCATACATACCTCGTTTGGTATCCGTGAATTCAAAAGCGTTGTGGTTCTTCCGCGAGTCCGTCCCGTCGCTGGGGATTGACTGATCGCTGTCTCTTTTTGCGAGATTTGATTGGTTGCTATTTTTAGGCCGCAGCTCGTATTGGGTGTCATCATCAAACTGTGGGCTGTAGCCACTCCGTGAACTGTTTTCAGACGAATTGGAGAGACTCGTTCTGGCCATGAAAATGAGGAATAGATATGTAGAGTTTTTGTGTATATATAATTTTTTTTTGGCATTTTTCTTTTTCTTTGAAGTAGGACGAGGGGGTGGGGGAGTCATTGAGGGATCGGAATAGTATAATACCCAAATATCAAGGGCCAGGATATCACTTCAGTAAACTCACACACTTCACCTGAATGGTGGATCAATATACCGACAAAATCAAAATCAAATCAATATACCGTCTAAGGAAACCAGAGCAACATGATAGATACACACTAACAATCTTCAAAAAGCCACAGATGCATTTGCTCAGCCGAATGTAACCTGTCAGCTGGCTTTAGGGTTTAGGGTTTTAGGGTAAACCCTAAACTCGTAAAAGTCTAAACCGAATGAAGCCACAATCCTTGATTGCGGAGGGATATACATACGTTCACAGCGATGAATAGAACTGGATCCTCCGTCAACCTATATAGCCATACATTTAACAACTAGACACTCATACACACATCAGACATACACACGGACAAACAGATCAGACACCAACCACATCCCCATTCACATGGCACAAAATTCAATATATATATATATATATATTTATATGGCTTATTGGCATACATACTCTCTCAATTTGTAAATAAAAAACCTATAATATTACACACAGCTATATTAAAATAAACATATGCACACACCTTGGTCGAATATAGGCGCCCAGCCAGCCAGCCGTATCTTTGATTCCCATCTCATCAAATAGATCCAGCAAGGTAGTGCGCACGTCATCTCTGGCATATGTTTTTATCAGCACCTTTGGGTTGTCATGAAGAGATATACAAGA